TGCTTTCTTGACAGCAAGTACATACTGTCCGGCCCGAGGGTGCTTATGGCTTTCAGGAAAGTTTCTAAAGAGAAAAAAAGAAAAGCAGAAGAAGCTGCTCCTCTGGCACAAATGCTCTCACGTGTTGCCACTCTTAGCACATTTCTTATTTGAAGTGAAACTTGCTCGTGTCCCGGGGAGCAGCTGATGCTCGGGCGCTTCTGGAGTCCTCAGGAGTTTTGCTCACATGTGCTCCTGTGCAAACTGCTGCAATTGAACTTTGTGAAACCACTAATTTCTTCCCTGTGCAAACCCAGCATCCACACATATTTTCTCTGGCCGAGCATTGCACTGGCGTTCTCTCTGATGGGAAGAAGAAAAAAAGTAGAAGTGCGCAAAAGCCACGCTGCTGGCAGCAGGGACGGTGGCCACGCGCCTGCTCTGGCGCTCACCAGCAGTGATTCGCTGGCTGCAGCTCAGCCGGTTTCACCATGAAAACCCCTGCGTGCGTGGCAGCGCAGTTGGGTAAGTCTGGACTTGGCCGGTCACGGTGGTGTCCCCGGCTGCCGGTCCTGAGCCGCGGGGCTTGCTGCCCCGCACCGCGCTGTTGGAAATGTGCAGCTTCAACCACAGACACAGCTTCTGTGGCGTGAGCACCGGATGGGCTTTCTGAATGGGAGCTGACTGATGGGGATGGGATTGTTTAAAATGGGATTTTTATGTAGTGCTGGGTGCGTTTATCATGGGCTGGATTGGCTACGCCATTGCCAATGGGTTTGTTTCTGGCTCAATGGTAATGTTCTGCTCTTTGAGAGCAGCACAATCACCCCTTGGGAACTAAGATCTGATAACCTTCCTTCTTTGTATTTAGACCAAATCTCAAATTCTTTTCCTCTAGGGTTTAATATTTTTAAACCAAAAAAGTGGCTTAACCATATGCAGCCCATACCTGATGGAAATCTTTGCAGCACCACCATCCCCTGGTCCAGCCGCAGGTGAGGAGCTGAGCTGTGCTTGGGCAGGAGAGCAGCTGAGGCTGCAGTGACTCAGGTTCCCAGCTACTGCGGCTGTTGATGAGGCAGTGGGCTGAGCACTTAGGAAGGAGATACCCAGGAAGGAAACTGCTTCTGTGGGATAAAAGAAACCAGAAAACCACTATCTCTGCTCTATGTGACAGTCTTGTGCTGTTACTGTAACACCCAGACTGACACTGAGATTGGCAGGAACTACATCAGCACTAAGCGATGAGGGATAATGCATCGCGCTGGGGCTCACGGCCTCCCGACGCAGCAGCTTTTGGGCTGCGTGAGAAGCATGAGGTTGCACGTAGAAGAGAATGCGCTCTCTCGTCTTACTTTGCAGAGGTGATGCTGTGCCCGGGGTCTCATCCTGCAGTGGATCCAGCCCAGCATTCCGGCTCTCAGCTCGGCTTGTCTTGCCCACTGCTGCTTCAGTCAGTTTTGCTGGCATTCACAGAGCATCACACTACTGTAGTAAAAGATGTTTTGTTGGTTTTTTTCCCCAAAAGCTGAGGGTTTTGGCACATGTTAGTTGCTGCTGGGACTTGAGGGGGTCTGCAGAGCTGCAGGTCAGGGTGCAGCCTGGTGCAAGCAGTGAGCTGGGTGATGCCAGTGCTATGATTCTGGTCTGAGTTAGGTGTTGTGAATCGCAAGGATGACTTGTAATGGTGCCCTGGATGTCTCAGCTCTGCAGGCTGCCCTTTGGGGCTTACCGCCCACCCCTTTTTTTTTAAGCAGTGCATCCTGGCAGAGAGAGACTGCTGTGGACAGGGCTGGCTTGGCAATTTGGGAAAAGGCTGCTTGGGGACATGGCAGAAATGAATCAGCGATTGCTCCTCTGCTGGAAATGTCATTTCTCCATGGCAGATGCTGCCTTTGGTTGCCCAGAGGGCTTCTGCTGGGATTTCCTGAGCACTCTTCCTAAAGCTTCTTGGAGATGATATATGTGTTTAGTCAGAGTGTGTTGGTGTGCTTTTGCCCACCAGATCTGCGGCACAATTCAAACATCCCTGGGTTTTGGTGACAAATGGCACAGGCTGCTTTGCAGATGGCTTGCATGGAGATCTATTACTAAATGTCCCCTGGCTCTTGTTTCTCTCTCCCTTCAGCGATCCCTGTCTGGGAGCCCCGCAGCACCTTCCCCCAGTCCCTCCAGTTTCTCAGCCTGTTTTCAGGGGAGCAGAGCTGCATCTTTCCCCCATGCCCAGCTCCTCTCCCACACTGGTGCCCCTGTGAGCACTCAGCCACCCTGTCCGGATTGCTGACTGGCTCCATCTCCGTTTTCCTCTGAATCAAGCGACTCCTGTAGCATCAGGTAACTGGAAACCTTTGTTCTCCGCACAGGGGCATCCCGTCTGCTTCCTTCCTGTGGTTTCTTTAACCAGTGTGACTGAGCTTTACTGAAAAAAGTCCCCACAGCTGAGCTGATGCTGCCCTTTGCTCTCCGCCCAGCAGAGCTCAGGCACCACCTTTGCTCATGAGGTTCCTCAGGCTCCTGCCTTGAGCTGGTGACATGGCCTCTGAGAGCTGTTTTCTGCCTCTCTGTGCAAGAAAATTTATATAAAGGGGATGAAAATATGTGCAGAAGGGTCAGGGGGTCACGCGGACCAGACCTGCCTGGAGTGAAGCTTCAAGCAGTGCTCACAAGGGCAGTTTTTACCAGGAACACAAATAATCTCACAGGCAAATTCAGCAATTCCACTGCCCAACACCAGACTGAAGTCAGGCCTGAAATAGACTTAGAAATTGTGATATTAACTACAAATATTTTTGTTTCTAATGCAGTGAGTAAAGAAACACCTGGAGCCTGCTGGACGTGCAAGTAAAGGGCTGAGAGCAGTGAAAACTGCAGAGGCTTGGAAGTGAAGCAGAAAGGTGGCCAGGTGGGTATCCCACCTGCCCCCGGGCTGTGTTGGTTGAATTCTGGGTTTATTGGTGACAGAGATTTAATTTCCATGCGCACACCGGCTTGGTTTTGTTCGGGGTTCGATTGTTGTGCGTATAGAACCATGTGCAGCTATAAGAATAATCCCCAGACTGTTGAAAAGCAAGCAGTGCTGTTGTTAATTTACATCAGTCTGGTTTTTAGCTATTATCTGCTATCTGATCTAGGATCAAGGCCCCATCCTGATGGAGAAGAAACACGAAGTTAAAACAGCTCAGTAGATAAACAGAGGCAGCAGTGCTATCCTATAAATCAGGGGAAGGAAGACACAGAAATGTTAAAGCCCTGGTGATTATCAATGAGATTTGGGCTCATAACCAGTTATCTATGTACACGCTGCTCTGCAAAGGACAATGGCTGAAATGCTTCATAGGGTTAGGGGCTGGAGTGACCCAGGGAGTACCTTGGGACCAGCACTACTTTGCTGTGGGAAATCACTGGTGGATATTTTGTTCCATTTTGTCAGAAATTGTGCATTTAAGTGTGAGGACCTTGGTTTTTCTCACTTTCCTGGCCATTAAAGCATGCAATGCATCCTCGGTGCTCCTTTGTGCCCAGACCTGTGCCTGCTGGGTTCTCCCCCAGTGCAGTGACGCTGGGCATGACGTTTCTGCACTGGTGCTGATTTACAGCCCTGTTAACGACTCAGAAGAGCAGAGCACAGGCTTTATTCATTAGGAAGTCTTTATTAGCAAAAATAAAAGATTTCTTTTCATACAGATAAAGACGCAAATGTTTATGCAGTGACAGAAGCTAGGACAGGGCAGGCTGCCAGCAGGGATGCCCTTCTGTCCCTATAAACATAAAAACCAGAATAACTCCAGTATAAATAGCCTTTCTTCAGTGGTAACTTACAAAGCAGACAACAAACTGACAGTGATTCATCATACTGGTGCCTTAATACTTCTAAATATTAGAAGTGAATGCCTCTGGGTTATGGCGTTTTCCTCTGGTTCAGTGTCCTGTAGCACTCGAGGAGGAAGGGGAGCCCAAAAATCAACAGCTCTCAGGGGCAGCTCTCCCTTGCACTTCCCCCTCAGTGCTCATCGGCTGTGGCTCCTCTCACGCAGGGTTGGAAATAACAAAGAACACAGACCCGAGTATCGTCAGTGCTGCCTGCAGCTTTAGGAATTTGAATGCAAATTACCCGAGCCACCTTAAAATGGTGGTTACTTAAATACCCTTGAACTTCTAAAGGAAAACAACCCAAAAAAACAGCGAGTAAAACCCAATCAAAGACTGGAAAATATTAACTTCCAAAAGTGCAGAGTGGCCAACTCAGCAGCTCTGAAGTCAGTCACTAGCAACACTTAAGTCAAGTTCTATTAGAACCAAACATTTAATTCCTACTGTGATTTTTTTTTTTCTTTAATTTGGACTAATAGGCTGAAGCCTAGGGGTTAACTGGTCTGCTGCTGGGGCATGATTGCACTGGAGGGCAGGTCCTGCTCTTCCACAGGAGAAAAATCTGCCCTCGGTTACATTTATGGTTATTTTGCTCAGTGCAAAGCCATGGAATAATTTTGACTATTTCAATGCCTAATTCCAGCTGCAGAACCAGACATAGTGACATGGTTATGCATTAAGAAAACTATCTGATTGCATAAATAAATAAATATTAAACTTTATAAAAATCAAACTTTGGTGAACTCAGAGCTGGAGTTGCTCCTGATCAGGCAATTGTGCTCAGTGAAATCGCACTCGGGATAAGCTCTGCCCATTAGCTGCTCCCCAGAATAACGCTGTTTTGGTTGTTCTGAAACTCTGAATAAAATAGCACTATCATAAACAGTATTAAAGTATTGAACTATAAATAGTATTTTAAAGCTCATCACACTTTTCTTTAAAACATATTGTAAACATAAATACTGAGGTATTAGAAATAATAAATATTAAATTCAGTTGTTAAAAGAAACCCCTTTTAAATACAATACTAAACTGGAAGCTATTGACCTGAATCCTAAAATAACTTAATCTCTCATGTGATCTTGCAGCCTAAAGTGATTTCTGAAAGAACGGCAGGGTTTTGTGTGAAAGATGCAGACCCGGGGGTGTTTTCACTTCTTTCTGTTCATCAGCAAGTACTCCTCGATGTAGTTGATGAAGATGTCGAACTCTCCCATGGCCTTGTAGATCCCGTTCTCGTGCATCTGCGGGGGAGAGCCAAGCGCATGTGAGCCTGATTCACGTGTGTACGTATGTATGTGTATGTACGTCTGTGTGTATGTGCGATCGCTGCACGTATTCTCCTTCCACGGACATCCTCAGCTTCTCTGCCCAACCCCTTGGGGGAACCCATCGGCAGCTCCTTCGAGCATCGCTCTCTGGATTGCGCTGCCTTAGGTATTTATATAATTAAAGACTTTTTTTTTTTAATTCTGTTCTCTGTCCTAAGCTGAAGCCACCACTAAAACCTATGTTCATCCTGACCTCACACGGCCACGCCGTCAGGGACCTCACCTTATCGAATGTCTCCTTGATGTGCTTTGTGGCTTTGCTCCTCTTCTCGCACGTGAAGAACCTGTGCTGCAAGGGACCAGAGCAACAGCTTCAACCCTGCGCGCTTCCTTCCCGCGGCTCTCCCCTCCTCCTGCCCCTCGTCACTGCCTCCCTGCACCTTCCCCTTCCCCATGCGGGGCTCTCCGGGGCAGCAACCATGGCCACTTTGCACCGTGTGATGATGAGACGAGCCCGGCACAACCCAAACGTGGACCCCAAGCCCTTTCCCGCCTTGTGGTACACTCTGCCTGCACAGGGTTCGTCCTGAATGACTCAGTCTGTGGCAGGCAATGGGGTCACGGCTGCACCAGATGCAGTTTTGGGAGGCATCATCACAGAGCCATGCTGCTCCAGCACCCAGGTAAGGGATGGACCCCCCCCCCCTTATCCCTTCAGCTGAATGTCATTGACAAGGACTGGCTGCAAATAGGTGCTGGCCCTGATCCTCTGCACCATCCTGACACCTGCGCTCCCAGGAAGTCCCAGCACCCACTCCCCACTCTGCTGCTGGTCTGGGACTGGCTCTTCCTCACAGATTTGAACCCCCCCACCTTGACGAGCCCCACTCACACAGCGCCTCATTGTTGCCCGCAGGCTCAGCAGCAGGTTGCCCAGGTCACCCATGCTCTGCTGGTGTTGTGTGCTGGTCCTCATGGCACTGGGCAGGACCTCCTCGGTGTAGAACCGCATCATCTCTGACACTGACTGGCAACCAAAGCTCCCCTGGGGTGAGAGGAGGGAACGGCGTTGGGCAACGGCCACCAGCACCAAGGTGCGTGGGCGTTTTTAAAGAAATCACAATCGCGGTGGTGGTCAGGGCGCTCGCGGTGCATTCACACTGCGGCTGTGGCGGAGGTTAACGGTGTCGGCCCCACCACAGGCACACGTGTTACGGCTGGGCTGGATAACTGTCCTTGTGTGACGTTAGGACATGCCCTGGTTTATACTGTGCTTCATTTCTTAAAAAATACTTGGCTGAAGGATGCAGAAGGTTAAGGGACTTAGATGAGAATTTTAATTCTTACCTTAAATTCATCCAGCAGTTCAGAGCTGAGCAACTGGATGCTAAGTTCATAATCTTTTGATTGCTGTAGGATGAAATGGAAACATGAGCTTTAATTAGACAGACAGTCAATGCTACTTTTCCCTTTGCTCTACCAAACAATTGTTTTGCTTGTTTGCATTTATGGTCTCCCTGTAGCGAAGGCAAAGAGCATCCAGCACGGGAACACCAGATACAGGAGTCCCCAGTGCTTTGCTCCATAATAGCGTAGTGCAGCCACCGTCAGGGCAAGACAACGAAATCACAAACTTCAGTGTCATTGACTTTTGTTCCTGGGAAACTCCTCCCGCTGCTGTCAGCGCTGGCTTCGGCTGCAGGGGACATTTGCGTAAGGAGGCTCATGCAACCGCATCAGATGAGAGTCAAAGTCGCAGCAGCCCCAGACGGTGAGGGATCCAGCCCAGGAGGGTTTTCATCCTCCCGTTTTTGTTACCTCTGTCGTTTCCAGTCGACAGGGACAGAGGGCTTTGCAGAGGGTGTTTGTTTTTGGGGTGCCCTTGTTGCACCAACGGCTCTGGTACTAGAGCTGCAGAGGGGGCTGGCACCCCCCAAAAGCATTGCTCCACGGCCACGAGGTACCACAGCTTTCCCGAGAGGTTAGAAATATTCCTTCCCAATGAGAACCGGGACATTTACAGTAAACTCTAAATCTAAAGCCTTGTCTGTTTCCATTCGATAATGAATACAAGCCCTGATATTAGCTTGAGATTAAATCTTGAGAATTATCTTAATTTATTGCTAAAACACACTGACATTAACTAAAATAGCAACACAGATGCAGCCAACCATCTCTATGGTACTGATGCAATGGCAAATGCTCCGAGTACATTGTGTACTGCTTCCTCGGCAGCCCCGATGCTCCTGATGGCTGCGGTGCAGAGCAGTGACCTTTTACAGACACCACAGCAAGTGCCAGTGACTGCAACGTTTCACCAGTCATAAAATACCAGGTCTGGGCTTTTGTGGTCCTTTCGGTGAAAAAGTTTGTAGCAAAAGTTTTCCCTTTTAATCTAGCGCTGAGTTCAGCGAGGCTGGACCTTGTTGCCCTGCAGGACGGACTATTTCCTTATTAATTCAGTGAATAATTTGGTTTGCAACATTTATGGGGCAGTCTGGGTAGTAGGGTTCACAAAGATTCATTATGAAATCTCTTGATTTCATTATAACTAAAACTAGGAAGAAAACTCTTGAGTGTTCTCTCTCGGCAAGCACTGAAACCAAACTTCTCTTGCTCACTCCTGGCAGCTCGTAGCACAACTCACGACCAAATTATTTCTACCGGGAGGAAGCTGCCTTCCCCCTCATCCAAATCACTGGATTTTGCAAAAACAAACAAACAAACAAAATCTAAATGAGAAGGAGAGGCTGGCAGGGTTATACTTACAAAATAATCCTTAATTTCCTCAAACTTGGTCCGCAGCTCTCTGAGCTTTGCAGGCAGGAGCTCGGGGAAGTGGAGGCAGGCGGGCAGGGGCGCCGAGCCCTGGGTGGGCAGGGTGCAGGCAGCCAGGATCAGGCAGAGCAGGGCTGAGCGGGGCTGCATGCTGCTGACACGGGCTGCTCCCCTTGCGCCAGCTGAATTTCGGAGGAGAGTACCCAGCCGATCTGCAGCCTTCACCTTGATGGAGCCCCTCATTTATACTCTCAAAACATCTCTCAATTTCCTCTCCCCATTTCCTGGCGAGCAATATTGGGGTTTTAAGTCATTCATTAAACCCAAATGTCACTTGGGTTTCCCGTCAACTTGGGTTTCCTGTTCTCTTGACCCCCCTCCTCTCCTCACACCCCATCAAATCTTTTGTGCTTAGACTCTGCATTTTTTTTTCATTGCTTGCTTCTTGTAAATTTAAATGTGGCTAAAGAGGAAAGCTTTAGATCTAATGCGAAGAAGAAAAGGTGGTGTTGAGGTTACTTATGCATTCACACAGTTATTTTTTATTTTTAGATGAATGCCCGACTGTTAGGGGAAAAAAACCTCTATTTTTAAACCCCCGTATCAAACCTGCACTTAAGATCCCCAGCACCTTGCATAATTCAGTAGCATTGCTTTTAATGAGCCTGCACAAATACACTGCTGCCTCTTTTGGCATCCTAATACTATACTGCAAATATACATAATAATCTTAAATCTTAATTTTTATATATTTTTTTTAGGTTTATGAACATCGGTGTTTCTGGCTCTTTAATCCTGTTTCATCTCCTAGAAATGGACACTAACCCTGTCCAAGCAACCCAATGCTGGTTCTATGAACTGGATGTACTGTGTTAACTGGGACTCCCTGTCCCAGCTCTGATAAAGTTACCATTTCAGAATGAAGATAATTCCTCTGACGTCTCTCTTGTCTTCTGCTTTCCTCTCTTTCATGCTCTTATTCTAAATATAATAATACACACACCCCTGCTTCCTTGTGATAAATATTTCACTGACTAATTTGGGAATGTGCTATCCAAGAAAGAGAAAGTGGAGATGAATTTGGCCTTTCTGAAATCAGAAGGTTATCTTTGAAACCTCCTGTGTTACTTTGATATAGTGAGTTCTTCCCGTCCTGACTCTGGTACATTGCTTTGGAGAAATCACTTCAATTCTTATTTCTTTCACTGCCCTGGACTTCTCTGGAGCTGAATTTGCAAACCTCTGTGAAGGATCTTGTTGGGAAAAAGCTGGAAAAATGCAAAGTATTGTTAGTTGTCATATATTTAGATTTTTAAAAATTTTAATTTAAGGAGTAGAAGAGAGGAATGTTTGTTGTGCATATGTATGAGAGTGAAGGGGTTGAAGTGTTAGTAATCGAAGGGTTTGAGACAGAGACAATGTGGGATTTAGTGTCCTGATTTGTTTTCCTTTTGTTGTTGGTGTTGCCCCTTCCAGAGGCGCTGGGGAAGGCTGTGAATCACTGCAGTGCACTGCTCCTCTGAATCACAGCCCATGTCATGTCTTGGTGACCCATTTTTCTCCCCTACTCTAACACAGCCGTGCGGTTTCTGCCCTTGACCGCCAGCAGAAGCTCAGAAAGGAGAAGAGCGAGCGGCGGCGATGGCTCAGACCAAACCAAAGAGTTTTAAACTCAACCCGTTTCCACGGGTGGGATCCCCCCTTTCTCTACTGTCCCATTGGCTCCCACCCTGGGAGGTCTTTTGCTTACTTTGGATTATATTTAATATGCCGTGGAGCAATAAAGCTTTGCTGCCAAGATCTGGGTGTCTGCTTGTGTTTCATGGGGGCTTCAAAGCTGATGCATAAGGTCGACGGATGCAATGCTGTCAGGAGCCTGGTGTGAGTCCATGGCAACCTGGCCCTGGACCAAAGCCCAGAGTTAAACCTGCTCCCTTCCAGGAAGGATGGGGTCGCGCTCAGCCTCAGCTGCAGGTTTGGGTGCTGGTATTTCTGTGGGATGCTCAGCAAAGGGGCTTTGGGCACACTGAAGCCCCTCACCCGGTGCTGGGAGCCTCTTTCCTCCATGCCGAATAGCTGAGCGCTTCTTTCCAAACTTCTCTTATTTTGAGCAACCTGCAGGTCTCCATGAAGTCATCTCAGTTTGACACCCGGAGTGCGCAGAGCGGTT